AAAAAAAAAAAAAAAAAAAAAAAAAAAAAAAAGAAAGCAAAGGAAAGAAAGAAAAAAGGAAAAAAAGGGCCGGTGCAGTGGCTCACGCCTGTAACCCTAACATTTTGGGAGGATGAGGCAAAACCTGAGCTCAGGAGTTCAAAACCAGTCTGAAAAACAGGGCGAAACCCTGTCTCTACAAAAAATACAAAAATTAACCAGGTGCAGTGGCACACGCCTGTAGTCCCAGCTATTTGGGGAGCTGAGGCAAGAGAATTGCTTGAACCTTGGAGGTGGAGGGTGCTGTGAGCCAAGATCACACCAATGCATTGCAGCTTGGGAGACCTTGCCTCAAAAAAAAAAAAAAAAAAAAAAAAGACAAAAAGGCAGGTAAATTTAAAAACCAAAAATGTATTAATTGAAAACAAAACCAAAAATAAAGCACCTCTGAAATTACAAGTAAATGGGGCAGTTCACTCACACATTTTCAGGAGTCTAAGTTGTTCAAGATGAAATATTAAAATGACTGCCAGGTTATCTATAATCCATACTTGCAAACAATTAACAACACAAATAACTCTAGGTTATTAATAGCAGTGAATGAAGTAACAGATACACATCTATCTGGCTTTAGAAATAAAGTATATGGTCCAAATAGATAATCCAAAGTAATAGATAACTGGTGCTTAAAGTATATGATCATCTATACACATTTACCTATCAAATTATAGCTTGATTTGGGCCAAGCTCAAATTAATTTCAAGTGGTAAGAGAAATCTGGACAAATGGTCTGAGAGACCAGGATTTCTAAAAAATAGAGTAATATAAACTGCAATTTCCTTATATCAATAGAAAAGAACGTTTTAACACATTCTTATCAATTCCACAAATAACTAGATACAGAAAATAAAGAAAAGAAACATTTCAATTCCTATTGCCTACTAGGACCAAGTTAGCACCTTGCTGTTTCTATTCTATTCAATCTATGCTTAAAAACTGGTTCCCATATATGGATAATCCAAAGGCAAACAGACACACACAAACTCACATTTACAAGCCTTCATCACCAAGCACTTAGAAAATACATTTCTTAAGACAGAATAGAAAATGGAGCAAGAGGTGAGGTCACCTACTACTTTAGTTCTATTGAAAGAGAGAAGTCATTAAGTGCTCTCCCCAAACAGTAGGTAGCCTCCAAAAACAACACACACCCCTACACCTCCCTAATCTGGTTTTGTCATTCAGTGAAGTGACCTAGGGAGGTCTTTGAAATGTGTTGTATCAGCTCAGACAATTAGACCGCATACAACCCCACGAAACATGAAATATTAAATGGAAAAGTATAATAATACATCTAAAATTAAGAACTAGGCATAGAATCTCTCTGAATACAAATTGTCTAACAGCTGATTTCCAAGATCCTTTGCAATTAAACGTTAGTACAAGATTAAAGTTCTTAAGGCTTAGCCTCACTTGCTGAAGCCTGCTATCTGAGTTTCTACTAGGCTGTGACCAACTTTTGAACTTGCCACCGTAACACTAAACCTCTGTTATGCATCCTGATAAAACTGGACATGTGGTGCTTAATACACCAAGCTAGAATCAACGTTTGTTAAAGAACTCTCCCGTTACTATTGTGATGCCCGCTCTGGAAGACTATCTGTATTTGGTTGAGGTTAAGACAGAAAAGAAGCAGTTAACAGATACTGACTGTATACACAGCGGTCTGCCGGCACACTGCAAAACGGAGATGCGCCTTACAGGCTCAGGAAGTTGACTAACCCAGGGAAAAGTCCCATGCCCTCCTCTATGAAAGGCAGTGTGTGGTTGGTAGAACCCAAAGTAAACACGGAAAAATTCATTCAAGAATTTCCTGAAGGCCTACCGTGCAGACGTCGGAGGCAAGTTAAGACGTTTAGGAGCAGGTAAGAGAGACCAGAGTTCATAAACAGACGGATAATGATCTACCAGCTCCGGTGTGTGGGGTGGGAGGGGGGTGCGGGGGGGGTCCAAGCTAGGAGAGTTTGTGCCTCCCTCTGTGGAGTTGGGGAGGAAAGGTACTGGGCGGGCTCTGGTCCTCCTCCGATAGCCCTTTCCAGCAGGCCTGGGGCTGCTAAGACCCAGGCCTGGCGTTCAGCAACAGCAGCTCTATTCCACATGGTTGCTGGAGAGCGACCCTCCGAGCTGCCCCGAGGCCATGTGGCTACGGCCACGGGGTGCCCAAACCCGGTGCACGTTCAAGATGTGAAACCAGAGCAGAGAAGGTGTCGGAGGAAATCCAAAGAATGGGATGTTGGGGTACAAGACTCACTTCCTTTGGGCTTTGTCCTTCTTGGCCTTGGTCCTTTTCTTTCGGGCCTGGAGCGCAAGCACTGCAGGAGAGAGGGATGGATGAAGGGCGAATGTGAAGTAAAGGAGGCGACCAAGGTGAGGGTGGAGACCCAGCAGAGGCGCCAGGCCGGACGGTCGGGCCTGCCTCGGGGGCGGATGCGGGGCGAGCGCGGAGGCTCCGGCGAGGCGGCCGGCCGGGGGGCTAGCGGCCCACGGGGCGCAGAGTAGCGCCCGGGCGGGATGCGCCAGAGGGGTCTCGGGCCGGGTCAGGGGGCGGGCGGGCGGGCGTCTGCCTCGCCCGCCAAGGGCCGGGTGCTGGAGTGGCCCCAAGGCGCGAGCCGGCCCGGCGGGGAACAAGGGGCGGCGACGGCCGGCGCCGGAGGACGCCGGGGCAGAGGGGCGCGGACTCGCAGCCCAGAGGCGGGGGGTGTGGGGCGGCGCCACCTCAATGGAGGGGCGCCGCAACGCCCGGGGACCGAACCGCAGTTGTTAGGCTAAGCTCTCAGCGCTGACCCGGGCCTCGCCCCAGCGGCCGTTGCCCCTCGTGGCGGACGTCGCTCCACCGCTCACCTTTCCGCTCCATGGTGAGACCGGCAACCGCCAGGCGCCTGCGCACTCCAGTGGCGGCGACTCCGGCTCCCGCCGCGGCCCAAAACCGAGCCCGCGCACACTCCACCCCCAGTCCCGCCCTGCCCCCGCCCCACGGTGCCGCGCGCATGCGCACTGGGTGCGGAACCTACCACCTGCTTCCGAGGTGGGGGCGGCATTGAGAGGGTTGGGGCGCAGGGCGGGGGAGGAACGCTGTGGGTGAACGATGAAGGAGTGTTTGAGATCCAAGCTTGGAAACCTAGCAGGGTTAGTTTTGTTCTGTTTGCTTAGAAAAGGCGCAGAGAGCGGCAGGGCTCCCTGCATGCTGAGTCAGAGCTTCGGAGACAACTGGGATCTGCCTCAGTTTCCTGGCCTGCAAAATGGATTAATCAGGCTTGTCCCAGTTCCTCCTTCCCTGAGCTATTGTGAGTGCCAGTTCAGATACTATTTAAAGAAATCGAAAAAAAAAATTACATGTGAGAAAGAAAAGGGAGTGGGAGCAACACAAGAAGACTGGAACGAAAGAACCTGTGACCCTATTATCACTTAAAAAGTAAAAACTTCAAAAGTGAATTTTCTCTTGAAACTTCAAGTTTAAATGAAAGCTGTAAAGGAAATGAGAATAAAAGCTGAAGGGGAAGTGAGAATAAAAACGTTTAATGTTTTTTATTCTAACACCTTCAATACATGATAAAATTGTCCTTTTTACAAGTTTTTTGTTTGTTTTTTACTTTTCTAAGTGTATTATCTCATTTGATGTTTATGGCAACTTAAAGGCAAAAACTTCCATTACACAAAGACAGTAAACTTAGAGGGCCTGCCTATATGTTCAGAATCTTAGTGTATGACCCAGTTATTTAATCATCAAGCCCTTATTGTATAGCAAGCTCAGCAAAGTTTTTATTTGGGCCATATAGTAAATATTTAGGCTTTGTGGACCATAAGATCTCTTTCTCAGCTATTAAGCTCTACCGTTGGAGCTCAAAAGCAGTCATGGAAAATATGGGCTGTATTCCTATAAAGATTTGTTTATTCATATAATTTTCACGTCATAAAATGTTCTTCTATTGATTTGTTTTTGAGACATGGTCTTTGTTAGGTTTTGAAGGGAATGTGAGGTTAATGAAAGAGCAGTCTTGCTCTGCTGCTCAGGCTGGAGTACAGTGGCATGATCTCAGCTCTCTGCAGCCTGGACATCCAGGCTCAAGCAGTCCTCCCACCACAGCCTCCCAAGGTGCTGGAATAACAGGTGTGAGCCACTGAGCCAGGCCCTTTTGATCTTTTTTTCAACTGTTTCAGCCATTCTTATTTTAGATCTTAGTTTACCAACCCCTATGGTAAAGTACCGCAGCTGGACAGAGTGGAAGCTCTGAAGACCTTTGCTCTAAACAAGTAATCAATTGAGAAGGAAAGATGAGAGTGCAATAGTACAGCACAAGTCAAGCACGGGGGCTTTGGCAGGACTTACTGAGCAAAGTAAGTAATTAAGCCCATCCAGGGAGGAGGCAGTTTTTGAGCTGGGTCTTAGGAAATAGGTAAGATTTCTATAGGTGGAGAAGGAGATGTCAGGCATTCCTGAATGAGAAAATATATTGAGCAAAAAGGCACAGACGTGGATACCTGTAGGTGGGGGTTAGGATTGGGGCTGGTAACAACCGAAGGGATGAAATGGAAGGTGAGGCTGGAAAGGCAGGTTAGCCAAATTTGAAATTTAGATGATTGATATGTGTTGCATGGAACCTGAATCATAGCATGTCTGGGTATATTGCAAAAGAAGACAGCACCTGTTGGCCAAGGAAGTATGCAGCCCAGCCTATTCCCTGCTGTGAAGTTGAAAACAAAAGGAAGGTTAGGACAGACAGGGGAGCCCTGGACTCTGAGGATTATGCGAGCTCAGGATAACCACCTGTGGTTTAGAAAAGACAGGAGAGAGCTGATGGTTAGGAAAATCCCCAAATTGGGAAAGTACTGCCCACCCCAAAGTAAACTTTATGAGTGTAGAGACCCTGCCTAGGTTTTCCTTTGTATACACAAAGTGCCTACACAGTGTCAGGCACTTAGTAGGTGCTCAAATATTTGTCTAAGAAAAGAATAAATGAGCCAGGCGTGGTGGTTCACGCCTGTAATCCCACGACTTTGGGAGGCCAACGTGGGCAAATCACCTGAGGTCAGGAGTTCAAGACCAACCCGGCCAATCTGAAAAAACCTCGTCTTTTCTAAAAACACAAAACTAGCTGGGTGCGGTGGCACATGTCTGTAATCCCAGCTACTTAGGAGGCTGAGGCAGGAGAATCGCTTGAACCCAGGAGGTGGAGGTTGCAGTGAACGGAGATGGAGCAATTGCACTCCAGCCTGGGCAACAAGAGCGAAACTCCGTCTCAAAATAAATAAATAAATGGTCTGAATTGGTTATTGCAGACCCATCAAAAAGGAAATGTGTTCAGTTTGGCATGATTCAGTCATATCTATTCTGACTCTGATTGACTATTGCTTCTCTGAGCTTACTAACCATCTGTTTAATAACTCATTTTCAGAATTTTTCCCCAGTCCATGTTAAGTTCACTGGTCTGAGTTCCCAGAATTGACCATTTCTCTTTTTTTTCCATATGTTTTTCTCTATTCCTCCATCATGCTTCGGCTCTCCACTTTTCTAAGATCTCTATAACTGTTCATATAAGTAAGTTTGTTCATTCCCCGTATTCTAAAACCATCCCCTTTTTGTGCATTTTGCTTTAAATGTAACTTTAAAAATAGTTTTTCTCCCAAGTTTGCAGAGCTTGGCCTATTCCGAACTTTACCCTTCCAGAATTTTTATTTGTTTTTTGACAGGGTCTCACTCTGTCACCCAGACTGGAGTGCAGTGGCGAAATCTTAGCTCACTGAGACCCCAGGTCAAGCAATTTTCCCACCTCAGCTTCCCCAGTAGCGGGAACTACAGGCACTTGCCACCATGTCCAGCTGATTTTTGTATTTTTGGTAGAGATGGGGTTTGGCCACTTTGCTCAGGCTGGTTTGGAACTCCTGGGCTCAAACAATGTGCCCGCCTCAGGCTCCCCAGAAACTATCTTAAAAGTGTTAGCAAAAAAATTAAAAAAAAAAAAAAAAAAAAAAAAAAAAAGGGGTAGACCAGGCATGGTGGCTCATGCCTGTAATCCCAACACTTAGGGAGGCAGAGGCAGGAGCCCAGGAGTTAGAGACCTGCCTGGGCAATATAGCAAGATCCCTTTCTCCACAAAAAGGGGGAGAAAAACGCCAAAAAAAAAAAAAAAGTGCTAGCTATTCTTACATGCATGCCTCTCCTCCATTAGCTGTTTTTTCTTTACAAGTCCCTTTAAAAGTAGAGGTATTTGGAAACCATAAGCCATCATATCATATTTTTGGCTGCTCATGGGCAGTATCAGAATTTGATTTCTGAAAAGATCCCATCCCTTTTGAGCTAACTTACTTAAGACTGCCCTAGAATCTTCTCTAATGCTTCTTTGACATTTTTGAAATCTGTATGTCTAAAGTTGAGTTCACATGCTTCCTCATACCCAACATTCTCTGCCGTGATTATCACAAATTATTATGCTTTGTCCAAAGTTTTGATCTGACTTAAATCCAGAGCAGCACATCTCTTTATGGCTTCCCCTACATCCTGCGAGACAAAATGGACAGCAGGAGACATTAGATGATTTGTTTTGAATGAGTTAAGATTTCCAATAGCTGTCTGCGTAATTGGAGAACCCCAACAAAACTTTCTCTTGCCTTTTTGATGCATGGTTTTGTGAACTATATCGGGAAAATCTATAATCTATAATTATATTATAGTCCTGGGTATCAGGAAGCACATGGCACATTCAAAGGCTAATTGAAAAGAATTTAATGAGGGGATAAAGGTATTAAGGGAAACAAACAAGGGATGGTTGGACATCCGGGGACTAGCAACAGCTGGAGTTTTTACTACTCATAGGCCTGAAGGGAGAAGAGACGGGAGGTGTTATCAGAGCCCGGGGAGAGGTTTACTATTATTATTATTATTATTCTTTTTTCTTCCTTAGGAGACCACCGTGTTAGAGAGGTTTATTATTAATAATTTGCTAGGCGTCGGGCGTGGTGGCTCACACCTGTAATCCTAGCACTTTGAGAGGCCAAGGTGGGCGGATCACCTAAGGTCAGGAGTTGGAGACCAGCCTGGCCAAGATGATGAAACCCCTGTCTCTACTAAAAGTATAAAAATTCGCCAGGCATGGTGGCGGACGCCTGTAATCCAAGCCACCTGGGAGGCTGAGGTAGGAGAATCAATTGAACCTGGGAGGCAAAGCTTTCAGTGAGCCAAAATTGCGACACTGCACTCCAGCCTGGGCAAC